TAGCAGAGCCAGAGTGAATCAGGTTGAGACCTGTTCAGGTAGAAACCTGGAGGTGAAGTCAGGTCAGGAAACTGAAGACTCAACATCATCAACATCATGACAAAGCTGCTTACAGAGGGAGATTTAAATACCCTGGTTTTTATTGTGTCATAAATAAAACAGTTTGTTTATTATATTCCCTTCTGTAGAATAACAGAGTAAACATCCAACCTCTGTGATCCAGCTTCGTAAAACCAAGTCATCGTTTTGGAGAGAAGAGGTTTTTCTCCTTCATCTCATCCAAACAAACCTCAGTGAACTCCTTCTAGTCTCGTGGACATGTTTCTGTAGAACATGTCCACTGCAGAGATTTTATTCTACCTGTTCTGGCAGTATATTAGATGTTTATGATGTGTAGTAGAAGTTGGACCAAAGGTTGAGAACAGGCAGAGAGAGGATGATGAGATTTTAATGAAGAAAACAAGAACTTACAAACATGAGGAGAACAAAATGAGAGAGCAGGAACCAAACAGGAAGCAGTGAAGCCAGTGAGGAGAGAGTGAAAGAGAGACGGTGAAAAGCTGGGAGTTTGACTGCTGGAACCACAAACCAGGACAAAACCTACAGTAGGTACAGCTGTGAGAGGAGAGCCGGAGGCAGACTGAGGGAGAGGCAGAGACACCAACAGGAGAAAATGTCTAACTAAAATAACTCAGAGCAGACTGATCTAACGTAAAACAGAAACGTTTTACTGTCATTTTTTAAGTGGTTCTTGGTGCAGCGCCCCCACAGGCGAGGAGGGGAACAGGTTGGTTTGACTCAGAGCAGAAAGAACCACAGCAGCTGGAGGAGGAGCTGCTGCCATGTTGGTCCCTAATCAGACAATGTCTTCTAGATTATCAGATGGGAAAACTCTCTAAGGTGAAATATAGATAACAAAAATATCAAAACTACAAACCCAGACAAAAAGAAAACACAACCCAAGATCCTGACAGTTTAACTTGTCAGCTGGAGTCTGTGGAGTTGGAGAGGGAAAGTTTTGAGACGTTTTGGGAAAATGTTTTTTCCCCTTTCCTGAGTATTAAAGGTTCTGACTTTGGAGTTAAATAAGAAATTCACTGCTGGGGAAATTGATATCTGATTTTTTTATTTTTAACTCTAAAATAATCTTTCTATCTGGTAAATAATGAACTTCAGTTCCTCTTAGACTGACAGGCAGCATTGCTTCTTGTAGATTGTTGCTCATATTTTTCCTTCTTGTGTGAAAATAAACCTGGAATCTCTACATCAACACATTCCTGCTTTTCCTTTTGCTTGTTTTGTTCGAAGTACTGATGATAAATAACCAGTTGTAACAAAAATCTTTCCATGTTTTTTATCATCAAAGAAAATAAGACAAGATATGAGTCAAGATTTGAACAAACAGCTAATTGGGAATAAAGTTCTTAAAGATCGCACTGGGAGAAGGAAAAGGGTAAGAAAGTTTCTGTTGTTGCATAATCATTGACTCCGCCCCTTTTCCTCTGAGTCACTGCAGGCAGGAAGCATGAGAAACATCCAGCTGTGACGGGCGAGTGGAGATGAAACCTGAGAGGGTTCAGCTGGGGGCCTGGGGGAACCGGGGGAACCGGGGGAACCGAGGGAACCGGGGGAGCCAGGGGAACTGGAGGTCTGACCAAGTAGGAGGAGGAAGGTCTTCAGCGGAGATTCCTCTTCTGTTTCAGAGAGGAAGCAGAATGTAAAAACTTTCACTCACAGTGACGTATAAATCACAGAGAGCTGAAAATCCATCACATTTCAACATAAACAGCTTAAAAAGTTGCTGATTGGTTTTAAGGGAAAATTCCCAGTTCTTGGTTGAAAAGCAGAAGCGGTCAGACCGGACAGGTTTGAAAACATCATGTCCTGCTTCAATGTGACCTCTGCTGATAGAGGCAGAAATATAACCATGTTTCCAATAATTCATTAAGTTCTGACTCTGTTTGGGAAATCCAGAGCCTGAACGGTCAGCAGCATTACGGGAAAACTTCACACTGATGAAGCACATATCTGAACAGTGCGGCAGACTCTTATCACGTTTAAAGCTTCTGATGATTTACTGAGGGTCAAACGGGTGACCTTTCTCCCTTACACAAACTCCTAAAATAACTTTGTAAAATTGGTGCAAACATCAGTTTTTGGCTAAGAACAAGGATAATAACTCTGTCGCATTCATGCACTAATGACTAATACTTTCATGTTAGAACATAAATTCTGGTTTCCTCAAAGTTTAATTCTGCAGATGTTTCTAATTTTTTCAAGACTTGTCAGATGAAAACCCTTTTAATGCCTGGCTGAGTTATTTTTAACATCTTTCATGTCGCGCCTTCGAACCTGCAGGACGTCTGAAGTATTTGAGGTATTTGTGTTGGAGGGAACACCCAGAGGTCGGGCAGGTGGAGCCGTTCCCTCATCCTGTTCTGTGAAGCTTCATTCAAATTTCCCACGATGCAACACAGCGACACACAAACCACAGCCAATCAGGAGGGAGGACACCTTCTGCATTCATTCACACAGAAACAAAAACAAACATACCTGCAGCATGAATGGAGGATGAAGCACATACCGTACAACAAAGACCAACGCTGATGTCATGCAGAGCAACAAGCCCAGGATGACAGCAGAGGCCTGGATTCACTGCACAACCCCGAAACAAAACCTGTAAAATAATTATCTACATACAGTTAAAGCAGAAATTATCACGGTTCTTTGTTTGTGTTATTTAATTTAAGAACAATAATTCATGTACATGACAACCAGCATGAAGACATTATCTAAACAATCACAATATTATTTCCTCAAAATAATCTTTATTTTTTGTGTCTTTCATATTTTCGAACATTTCCTTTGTAGGTTTACACCAAACACAACTTTATCATAATCTTTAACCAGAAGGTGTGAAAACCAGAAATAAACTCTGACATCATCTAACATGTTTTAGTGTCTCTTTGATTCTAGTATCTTTGTAAGTAATTATCTTTTTTCATAGTTAACAGTTACTGCTTCCATATAAAACGTCTAAATAGTATTTCTACTAACAGACATAAAAAATGTTGAATTGTGTTAAACATATTAATAGAGGCTTCAGATATTAAAATGAAATGTAAAAGAATGAAAAATAATCAGACAAATAAAGAGTTTATAAACAGAAAGATCTACATTTGAAAATCCAAATATTTTAAGAGTTTTCACAATTTAACCAAAGAGTAAATTATAAAGACTGGAATAGTTTGAACTGTTTGAACTTCACAGCATCCTGTAAACTAGATTACAGTTAAATCAGATTAATATTTTTGGTTTGTTAAATGAAAATATTTTACAGTCTAATGTATTTCTATCTAAACAAACCATAGTTAGTTAAACCAAAACCAACTGAACCGTCTAGTCAGCACAAACTGATCTGAGACAGGTGTGATTTTTATCAGGTCTTTGAAGAACCAGTTTTGTTTTAGCCTGAAACTGAATTAGTTTTGGTTTAGTACTGGAATAATTTAAATTATTTGGTTTAGTTAGTTCTGTTCTAAACTACTTAGTTCAGTCCAAAGTTAGTATAAATGTGGTTTAAAACAAAGAGAAATGAGTTAACCAAAACTAAACCACAACTAACTTCTTGTTTATTGATTTTTAGGTTTTTTTGTCTAATTTGTGTAACTCAATATTTTTATTTTACACCCCTCTCCTCCTCCTCGTAAGGTCATTGCCACTTGCCAGGCAAATTTCTTAACTTATTTATTTTACCTGGTTAAATAAAGGATTAAAATACATAAAATCAGTCAGATTAGACCCAAACTACAGAAACTAACTGCAGTCAGTGGCCCGAACCCGAACCCTGACCATGTTAGAAAGAAAATCAGCTTTATAAACCAGGGTGACGGATCTGATAACAGAGTGTGATTACATTTGAACTATGACCTCGATAGTTTCCATGTCGACAAACACAACAGCAGCAGTTTAAAGTGAGGTTTAGCCCGTAAAAGCAGATAGAAACAGCGTTAAAACAGCCACACCAACAGACCCTGAGTCATTTAGGCCCACAGAAACACTCCCTGAACACACAAAGAGTTTACTTTAATCAGATGAAGGCGAACCTCCTGTGATGAAATGGTTGGTAATGGAGATGAGTGACAAACTGCCCGTCTTTAACTTCCTTCCCTTTTTATTGCTTCAGCATCCGTTTACTCATCTTCTTCAACAGAAGCATAAAAACCCCAAAGTTTTCCAATTTAACTTCACTCTGATGTCTAAGGTGAGACTTTTACATCACTGACTGCAAATAATCCAATAATAGATATCTGATTCTATTTATTCCTCGTTTCTTTTATTAACGAATGATTTCTTTCTTCGTCTGACGTGTTTCTAACATAAAAACTGTGAATTTTACGAGCAGCTGTTGTTCATTGTTGTTCTCTATAGAGGAATGCTGCTTCAGAGGTTTTTCTATCAGTTTCTGTGTCAGAAACATTTTGTGTTGGAGCTGTCCTGATAAATTGGCTCCAGTCTCATTAAACTCAGAGACAAGCTGCCGTAAACCCGCAGAGGAACGGCAGGAATGTTGGCACAACCAGAGAAACAGTTCAACGTGTGGCGCAACAGAAACTCACGCCTTCACTTTTCACTCTGGGCTTTTAAAACTCAGGATGAAACTTGAAGCTGGAGCTGATTTCACCGCTGAGCCTGCAGCGACACAAATCAGCTCTGTGGAAAATTACAGGCAGGAAGTTAGAAAGTTTAAAACAACAGACAGGAACCTCAGTCCAGATTTTTTTATTTAAATTCATCTCAAGTGATGAGAATAATGATCAGATTTTCTTGTGATAAGGAATAAAATGGGGTTTTTTATTAATAATATATAATCTACAGATCGTAGATGTTTTCACTAAAACACCCATTAAAACTGAGACAGGATGAAATCAGTTATTCAGACCTGAATAACCTTATCCTTAACGATTCCACATAGAGCCACTAGGGGGCGTCTGTCACATAGAGAAGGTTGGGCACATAGAAGAAGAATAAACTTTCCTGTTACAGCCAACAGAAACTCACCGTGTGTGTCGTTTTCTGCATCACAGGTCAGTAAAAATGTATTTTGATGCATATATAATATTTACCTCTTAGAGTTGAAAAAGTTATTGAGTCAGAAGTGAACTGGTGAGTCACGTTATGCAGTTTGTGATTAACACTGAGTAGAAAACGGGACATATTTCTGGAGGCTAATTAATGCTAACAGCTGGCTAGTAAACGGCTGAAGAGCTGCTGAATTCACTTTGAACTGGTTGTATTTTAAACTTTTTGAAATGGTTCTCTCACACAAAGGACTTTTTTTGGTTTCTTTATATTTAAATTTGATATTTTTATGGATTATTGCAAAAACCCGAGAAGCCATATTGTTATCTCGTTCCGTGAGTAAGAGATGGCGCACACAGCATTAAAGGAGCATTACACCTTTTCAGTGTTGCAGCTTTTAGTGAGAGAATAAAAAACTATCATGTTAAAATAATGGATAGTTAAAATCTAAAATGCTTTCATATTAAAATACATTTTATTTGTGCAGAATAAAAATTGTAAAAGCTATTAAAGTAGTTTAAAAAATTAATAGATTTTTATTTTCATAGAAATACAAAAGAAAAAGAGAAAATGTATTTGAATTAAGAGACTAACTAAAAACTAATATGGTTTAGAGAATCAAAAGCCTTTGAATAGATTTAGTCATTTCATAAAGTAAATTTCATAAAAATAAAGATATATTATGACCATTTGTGATGAACTCAATCTAAAGACTAGAGTTTTTATCGATCTATTGCAGTTACTGAGTGACACCTGAAGTATTTAAAATGAAGTATTGTAGTTTTGTGTATGGAGTATGTTCATTACACAGAAGGATATAAATCTTCCTGTTAGATGCTGATGTTTCATCTTTTCTGTATCTCAGCATCACAGACTGAGAGGACAAAACAACCTCATGATCTGAGGCTGCCAGGTAACGTTCATGTTGATTTTTATGTCTTTTTCTTATTTTCTACCTGCTGTAACACTTTTAGAAAGTGAAATAAATCTGAACCTGAAAAGTTGTTTCCTCTACGTTGCTGTTTGGATAAGTTAGGAAACAAAGTTAGCTTTGTTCCAACCTCTGGTTCCTCGAGGTCATTTAAAGTGAGTTTCTCTACTGGAATACCAAAAGGATCTGAACACAAGCTAAAGGCCTGGAATACCAAAAGGTCAGAGGTCATGAGGTTGATTTGTGCATAAATAAATAAATGGAGCTTTTTATCTGAATCCCATCCTTCCTGTTCAGTTTGAAGTTTTTTAGTGGGAATCAAACGTGTGACAGGTTGGGTTGGCGTTTCCCCAGCAGGTGAATCTGTCTAAACAGTTTCATAACTGGAGTTCCCGCCTGCTGCAGGTTTAGAGACGGAGAAAGAGAAGAAGCGTTGATGGAGGAAGGCTTGTTTAATCCAGGCTGTGGAGTCAGAGGCCTGGTTTATGTTCAGAGGTCAGTTTATCCGCTCTGCGGTGAATCACTGAGCGCTCTGAGTAAACACGTCTCCCTGCAGCTCTTCGTCTTGCTGCTCCTCCTCCTCTGACTCTGCTGCTGTTTTTATCCCAGTTTACAGTCCATCACAGGTTCGACCCGTTAAAGAGGCTTAGTGGACTGAAACGCAGTTTGTGTGGGCGAGGAGATGTAAGCCGAACCGTCCAGGAGTGACTTCCTGTTCATTAATCACACATCAGATCCGTCAGCTTTAACACGCACTCAGAAATAATGGCTTTAAATGACCTCTGTTACTGGTTTGTGGTTACTAAAGATGTTTAAATACCTTAGTAATTCAGATGAACTAGTGGAATAATGTATTCTGTTTGATTTACCACAGAAAGGCCACATGCAGTGATTTTGTGAACATGTTTTATTTTATCACCAATTATTCCATTTGGTTCTGCTTTCATCTCTAACTCAGTATTTAAGGTTCCTGTTCAATTGTCTCTGTTTTGGTTTAAAGGTTATGTTTTCTTTGTTGCTCTTTTCAGTTTTATTAAGTTTGGAATAAAACATTTTGAACTTCCTTATAATGCTATTTTGCTATGATGCTTATGCTTATGATGCTATTTTAGGCTTGAATAGCTCTGCTGATAAGCTAACTCATTTTAATACAGCAGTAGTTTTCCAGCGTCCAATCAGATCGATTAGAAGCAGAAATGATCCCCCATTGGGTCGAGAGAAGCAGCGTCCATCGCTGATGTTAGCGCATGTTAGCGCACGTAGCTTGAGTGACAATAAAAAGGTTCTGGTTCCTAAAAAACAATTTTTGTTTTTACATACAAAAAAATTTTGGGGTTTTTTGTATGTAAAAAAACAAAATTCAGTTAATTGCGCAAAAAAATGTAATGCCTTATAATCTATGAAATTATTATTTAAAATTAAAACATGAAAATCCCAAAGCTGTTACAGATGTAGGTTTGTTCACCTGAAATGTTCCCTGAACCGTCTGACATTTTAGTAATGATCCCTGCTGTGTTTTGGTTTTCTTTATAACTTTGATCATGACCTTGTTGTGATTTTTAATTAAATTTTTTAAATTCTTTTCTCTATTGGCTGTCTGTGTCTACACACACACACACACACACACACACACACACACACACCCTGACAGGTTTCTGATAAAACCTGTTTTATTTCCAGCTGCCAGTCAGCAGAAAACGGAGGAAACTCCTGAGTTTCCTCCTTTCTTTTCTTTCTTCATTCCTCTGGCCGTCTGTCTGAGCCGCCGGCCAGCTGGACTTTGTCCAGATCGCCTCCTTTTCCTGCTGCGTCCGAATGCATCACCAGCTTACTGAGAAGTCCTCCTCCACCTCCCCAGGCTGCATGAAGATGACTGTAGGAGTTAACTTCACACTGAAGGTGAGGAAATCTGGGCTTTTTGCAGCTCAGATGGAGGCCAGGATCAAATTAGAACAACAGGAATTTCATCATAAAACCTCCTTGAGGTGTCCTGATCATTTTTAGATTCCTTTCTGCCTCCTTTTAAAACGTTAACACATGAACTCAGAAAGTTTTTACTGATGGAGCAGTGAAAACCCAACATCTCTGATCTGGATCAGAGTTTAGATCAGGATCAGGAGGAAATCCTGATCCTGATCCAGTTTCTCTCAGACATTCAGCGCTGAACGTCTGCAGCTCCGTCCCATCATGCACTTCTTCAGTCGACTCCTCAGCAGGAGCTGCATTTGGACTGGACTGATGAAGGTTCGCCTCCTCTTCCTCGCTCCAGGAATCCGACCTGCTGCCAACAGAACAGTAATCCAGCTCAGTTCTGTTTACGCTGCGAACAGAACCATAGAAGGTTCTGAAGTCGCTGCCTCTGGTCGTCACTAAAGCTGCTTCCTGCATGTCTTCACTGTAAACCTGAGGAAAGGAGGCCGGGGTACCAGCAGGACCATCTGGGTTCTGGGTTCTGGTCGGGTTCTTCCATCCTGGTCCAGTTTTCATAAAGGAAGCCCGACCTCCAGATGTTTCAAACAACTACAGATGTTTTTCATCTGACTGGTTGTTGTTTCCATCAGTGTCGCCTCCTGGCTCTAGATTGTAGATTCATGTTTCTAGATGTTCTGCTGCTCTGCTTTGTGCTTTTCTGTTTCAAACTTCTGCAACATTATTAGTTTTTTTATCATCTCTAATATTCATGCTCCATTTGGTCCAGTTGCTAATGAACGCCTTCAGATTGTTAAAATGACATTAATCAGAAACTTAAAGATACTTTTAACATTTACAGTTAGAACTAAAGCTCATAACGTCATAGAGTCTCTGCAGTTAAATTAGTTTCTACTGATTGTGACACATTTTTCTGAAGCTGTTCGTTTTGGGCCTGCAGCCTGACCCGGGGCCCGGGTCGGGGGCCAGCGGGGGCCCAACAGGACAATGAGGCGAGAGCAGAGCCGTTTCTGTTCAGATGTAATGGAAGAACTGAAGTCATGCAGCTGAATGGGCCTCAGTGGGAGGCCAGCTGGTTCTGATGCTTCTGGCCCAGTTCAGTCCAGCAGCTCTGTCTCATTTCCAGCATCAAACTGGAGCTTGTGACCGTTTCCTCTCTAGGATATCACTTGTTGTGTTTCCAGTGTGAATCGTGTCTTTGTGAGTCAGACAGAAAGAGGACATGAAGTGTGTCAGCCGTTTGGACCGGCGCCACCTGTTGGATAACAGCAGCGTTTTCAGCTCCTCTCATTCTTTATTCTGCTGCAGTCTGAGCTTCTTCCATCATCCAAACATTTCCCTCCTCAGCGCTGAAAGCTTCTCAACCTGCTTCCTTCATGATTCAGGTTCAACACGTCCAACAAACTTCAGAGGAGCAACTTTGTTCCTCTGCTGGGGCAAGAAACAGCAAACAGCTGGAGGACGATGGAGGGCAGAGCTGTGCTTGGACTGGGAGGAAGATGATGCTGCAGCAGGAAGATGATGCTGCAGCAGGAAGATGATGCTGCAGCAGGAAGATGCTGCAGCAGCAGGTTAATGCTTCCTGCTGTTGGTGAGCTGCAGATTTCCCATCATCTGTAACAGGGATGTCCAAAGTGCGGCCCGGGGGCCATTTGTGGTCCACAGTGATCCAAAGTGATGAACCTCAGTGGAGTTTGATGCAGATGGAGAATTTAGAATTTTTATTATTAGGGGGGGAAGCTTTTTTAATAACTTTATTAAAATGATCTAAGTATAGTTCATAATTTTATCTCTATTAAACAGAAAGGACATTTCTTTGTTGCAAAGCGACTCTTTCCTTTTAAAGGCACAGATGCTTTATAAACTGGATCCAGAAGTTGATGAACTCATCATCTCTGACAAAAAAAATCAAACTTTATTTGAATAATAAAATGTTATGTTACATTAAAGCACATTAAAAACTTCACAATATATTTAATTTATTTTTTTATTATATATTTTAGACCCTGTGATTAAAGGTGGACTCCACTGATCTCTAACATGATGTTGGTGTGAAGCCTGATATGTTTTCCATGTCAGATTTTTAATGCAATGTTTCAATAATCTGTTTGAAACATTTTCAGTTTGTTGTCTGGATCAGATTAAGATGGGTTTTTTTTTTTCTGTTTTCATCCCCTGATCCTGTTTTATTACTTCCCTCTGGAGGTCAAAGGTCATGCGATTTGATCTGCATCCTCACTGATGCAACCAGACTTTATTTTTATTGTTTTTATCCTCAGAGCCTCTCAGCCACATGGATTCATGTTTCCGTCCCAGCAGATCAGATCCAGTTTCACTGATGATCTGATGACCTTCATGTCTTTCTGATCGTTCTGCTCCAGCATCAGCAGGCGTCCTCAGCTGAACTGGTCCAGCTCCCAGTTCAGCCGTTTCTTGTGCTCCAGTTGGCGGGTCGCCTGATCAAGCCCCGCCCCTTTCCCCCGGTTGTCTGGTCCAGTCCACAGTTTGAAACCGGGTCACAGTTTTATATGAACTTAATGCAGACAATAATACAAAACAACCTGATAACTAGCGGCCCAGGAGTCGTCCTCCGTCCTCGGAGTCCAAAGCGTTTCATACGCCGACCTGCATCAGTCTGGATTTATTGGACTCCAGGTTCCTGTGGCTCCGTTTGTCACCAAAATGGTTTTATCTGATTTGTAACCATCCACAGCCTTAATGCATTTATCTAAGTGTGAACAGAAACAACTTCCAAATAAAGCAAAGACTCACAGCTGAGCTTTATAATAGTTTTAAATAATTTACTTTAAAATAATAAACAGATTCAACACCAGAGGTAAAAACGTATAAAATGATTTTATTCATTTTAACTTTCTGCTGTATTGAACAGGAACCCGTTGGGGACTGTGGCTCAGTGGGGCGTTATGCCACAGGACAGAAGATGTGGGTTGAGATCCTGCTCAGTCCTGTTGGACAGTCTGTCAATGTGCCCCGGGGCAAAATATTTACCCCGGGGTAAAATACCTACCCCAGGGTATGAGGGCAGCCGGCTGAATGTCCTGTGACCTTTAAATGTGTTTCTGCTTCAACAGCTGCATCAGATCCAGATCTGGCTTGACTCTGAACTGATTCAGTCATTTTCTCCAAGTGTGATGGACTATTGGGACTCATCTAAAGGTTTCAGGATTTAGTTTGATTGAACAGTCGATCTACAGACCAGTGGACGATCTTTGAACAGAACCCTGCAGAAGATCTACAGATCCGTCTGAAAATGTTTTCCTTCCCAGTAATTTTCCAGCAGCTTTTGTATTGTGATGTAAAGAAACTCGACATGTTTGTGTCTCCGTATGTTGCTGTGGGAACATGGACGTATTGACGTATCCTGCAGGTGCTGCCCTCACCTTCAGAGACAAACCACAAAGTCTCTGGTCTCCTTCAGGTCCAGGAGGTTTAGAGTAGCTGTTGATGCTGGAGGCGACCCTTCAGTGTGTGTGTGTGTGTGTGGGTGTGTGTGGGTGTGTGTGTGTGTGTGGTGCATTCCCTCTGACTTCAGTCTTTGTTTGAGTGTCCACAGCAGCGGGACGTCCTGCGTCATCAGTCTGAGGACAACCCCGCTCACCGCTGACGGACCTGTTGGGAGGAAGTGATGCGTGAAGAGACGGAAACCAGGCCGGGAGATGAAGAATGGAGGCTTAAAGATAATGCAACACTACCCCCTGGTGGAGAAGTGAGAGGAGACCTGAAAACCAAAGAAAACAGAAGAGACTGAAGAGGAAAATCTGAAAATAAGAGAAATAAAACTGGAAGGTGAAACTGACCTTCACCTTAAACTGCATCAATAAAAAAAAACTTAAATTCCCACCGCGGCGTCTCTCCATCGTCATGTTTCTCAGACCTGTGGGTTTATATATAATTTACAATATGAGACTTCTACACTTCACAAAAACTTTACAGAAAATATTTGTTGCTGTTTCCCAGTGGTTTTGTTAATGAGTATTAAAGAAAATAAAGTTTTGTTTACATAAAGAAACAGTTCAGGCAAACAGAAGTTTATTTAAACCACCAATAAGAGGCTAAAATTAGGTCAGAAATGTTTAAAAAGTTCAACATCAGCTGCAAAGACTTCCTCTAACATCAGTGTTGCTTCGTCAAAACAAATATTTATATTTAAATTCACCAAATCAAATATTTTTATAAAGTTGAGTCTGAAATAATTTATCTTTGTTTGTTGTTCAGGAAATAACTTGATGCATTTTAGCACATAAAATTGAATCTCTGCTGTTTGGCTCAAAGAAACCAAGAGCTGCTGAATATTATTTATTTGCTCAATTAGGGCAAATTAAACAAAGAGTTAATTAAAGCTAATTACTTCAGTGAAATGCTGTTTTGGTCAGGATCTGTTTCTGAAAAAAACATCTTAAATATGTACATTAGACTTTTGGGGATTAAAAGGTCAATATGATTCTGTTTATAATATTTGAATTTATTTTTCTGAAAAACTTTTGCCATTAATACGGTTTTTATGTTTCCAAATGAACAAGGATCCAATGAAACATGAACCTGCAGAATTTATCCATCATTCATCAGACAACTTCTTTATTTCCTGTTTTAATTTTCAACTTCAGTTTGAAAACAGCAGCGATGGATTAATATTGCCATGAACATTCTGCGTTATTTTAACTTAAAATACACAACTTTTAATTTAATGAACTAATATTTGTTCACTGAATCTGTTTATTATTTCTGAAATACATTAATTCATGCCTCCTTTTATCAACTAGTTTCATGCTGTTTTTATATTAATGTGTATTTAGAGACATAACTTTAAATTTAAAAAAAAAAAAAGTGCCCCGGAGCTGATTAGAAATCTCACGACTCCCTGCAGTACCGCCGCGGCACCCCTAGGGGTCGCAACGCTCACGTTGAAGACCTCTGGCAATAACAAGAAATCATCTGAAAAATGTATTTTATTTTTGTTTAAGAAGAAGAAAAATGAAAAGAAGAGAAAAAAAGAAGAAATGTATGAGGGGACCCTAAACTTTTTCACCGTGTGGTTGAATCCCAGAACCAGAACCAGGAGGAAGGGGTGGAAATGTCCCTCTCTCCCTCCGTAGTTCCCTTCTTAGCCTCCTCTGCAGAACTTCTCAGATGTCACAGAGTCAGAGGCTTAGGTTGCCTTCCTCCTCCTCTTCTTCCTCCTCCTCTTCCTCCGGTTCGGAAACGGGATGTGATGTAAAAACACAGAAACTTTTTTTTGTCTTTGGAGCTGATCGGATTTTTCTGGATCCGAACGGACTGTTCCGAAACAAGCCGAATCTGATCAAATCAGGAGTTTCTCGGAAAGTCGCCGGGAGTTGAAGAGACGGATCGACTCCTCCACCATGACCCAGTGAGGGAACCCGAACCGAACCGAGCCGAGCCGAGCCGGGGAGAAGCTGTGAAGCTGCTGCGTTGGACCCGGAGAGAAACAGCTGAAAACAGGTAAAAAGTCCCGAACCTCCCGAACCCAGAGGGTTCTGAGATCAGATGAGGCCTTCAGGAGACCATCGGAACTCTGGGCTTTGTTCTGAACCGAACCCGCTGGTTTTCCAGGAATTATCCAGATCCGCTCCATGAACTGGGACTAATCCTTCCCAGCAGGAGAGCAGAGACTGGACCGGGTCTGCCGGACCGAAACCCGAACCTTTCAGAGGTTTTAATGGAAGTTAGAAACAAGCAGGAGCTGGATGGTTCTGTTGGACCTGCAGCTGATCCAGAACAGAACATCTGGAATAATCTGGATTATTAATCCGGTCCATTCATTCTGTTCTCAGTCAGCTCCAGAACTCCAGATGTTTTAGGTCGGTTCCGATGTTCTGATGGTTCTGATCCGCTGCAGCTGGACCATCTGGACATTCAGTCCACTGAGGAACCAGACTGCATGCTGGGACGTTGTCATGACAACAGCGGTGCAGATCCTCCTGTTCCTGCTGGATGTTCTGCAGGAACCGGGTTCTGTGTGACAGGTTCTGCTGTGCTGCTGGTTCTGTTTCCTGTTCTTCCAGAACCAGCTCTGCAGGTTCTGCAGGTCGGGTCTGAGTTCTGACCCGGTGCTGGTTCTGGATCATGTTTGGGTTTATTATTTTTACCAGCAGAACAAACAGAAGCAGAACAAACTCCCACTGAGAGACGGTTCTGATCCGTTTGCAGAACCAGAACCAGGTTAATACAAACAGACCAGAAAAAACATGGAGACAGAAACAGCTGATGGATGGATGATGGATGGATGATGGATGGATGATGGATGGATGGATGGATGGTGGATGGATGGATGATGGATGGATGGATGGATGGATGGATGATGGATAGATGGATGATGGATGGATGGATGGATGGATGGATGATGGATGGATGGATGATGGATGATGGATGGATGGATGGATGATGGATGGATGGTATCACCCTAAACATCCAGTTACCTGCTGATGGAGTCCACTGGTTGCTATGGCGATGTGGCTCCTGGTTCTGCTCTGACTCAGAACCAAACAGCTGCATGTTCTCCTGTCTTTCCCATGTTGGCTCTTTATGCTTCATGTTCTTTCTGAGCAAACTGTCTGACATCTGCGCTTGTTGTCATGGTAACTGAGACCTCAAAGCCTCCTTAATCTCTAATCTGATCCAGTTATTAAAGTTATTAATTCCATGGAAACCTGCAGGTTTCAACCAGCCGGGTTCCTGAGAAGCATTTTTAACTCTACTATGAACTTTATTCTCATGAATATTAGCGTTCAGTTGCTTTGTGGTGGTGCAGAGGTTCAGCACCACCCACATATGGAGACCCTAGTCGTCAACGTGGCTGTCGCAGGTTCGATTCCCGGCCTGGTGACCTTTGCCACATGTCTTCCCCTTCTCTTGTTGCTCCTTTCCTGTCACTTCGCTCTGAAATAAAAGCCACTAGAGCCAGAAAAAACATCAGAGTTAGATGATACTGTTTGATCCAAACTAAAGATTTTATTCAGTTTTTCTGTAAATCTGATGAAATAATTTTAGTTTAAACCTGTTGCAGCCTGCTGTGTTCCTATTGGCTGGCTGAATAAAGCTCCGATCTGTTGGAGGATCCTCTGGTAGAGAGAAGAGTCAAAATGTTCAGACTCTCTTCCATCTGAATCATTAATAACATCTGAACATTTCTGATAGCAGCAGGAATATTTTCTGTTTTATGAATTTATATTCTGACATCAGATCGTTGGACTCAATCAGCTGCAGCAGGACGATCAGATCCAGATGCAGACCTGCAGACGGGTCGGCCGATTGACCCGCTAAAGCACAGACAGGAAGTGATGGAGTGGAACAGGAAGTGATGGAGTGGAACAGGAAGTGATGGAGTGGAACAGGAAGTGGAACAGGTTGACCAGAACGATCTTCACGGTTTAAACACAGAATTCACTTTCACTACAGAAAGAAAGTTAAAAAAAAGTCAAAATACAAAAACAATTGGACAAGAGATAAACGTATTAATAAATGTATAAATACATTTACAAATAAAAACATCTTTGTTTATTGTTATGTATATTTTAATCAATCAAAATAACATCATCAGAACTAAGTGCAATACAAAGAAAAAGGATAAACCCAAAATAAAATAAATAATAATTGGACAAAAGATTTTTAGTGATATTATTTATTTATTATTTTAATTTAATAATAAATAAATGTATTGAACACATTATTTATTGTTCAAGTTAAGAATAAATAAATAAAAGTCATATATAAATGTATTTAATTTAATAAAAAATATTTTAATACATCTAGATATTAAATAGATTTTTAAAATATTTATTAGTTTATTTACATGTCTTTTGTTATTTTTCATTCGTTTTAAAGTAGATTAAATTTTTTTGGCACTCCTGTCATTCCATATAAGCGCGTTAGAACCCTGGATCTGAACCGGGTCTGAACCGGGTCTGGACCGGGTCCGGACCGGGTCCGGACCGGGTCCGGACCGGGTCCGGACCGGGTGTGAATCTGCGGTCTGGACCAGGTGTGAACCCGGTCCAGACCCGGTCCAGACCCAGTCTGGACCGGGTCTGGACCTCTGAGCTGCAGACAGAACCTGGATGTTGCTGCTCAGGCTGGTGCAGATTAAACCTGTTCTGATTCTGTTCATGAATTATTTCCTAGTTTCTCTGTGGTTTGGTGTTTCTGGGATGTTTCGTTTCGTGTTCTTCTCCTGGTTTCTCATCGTGTTTGTTGTCAGCGGCTGCAGATGTTTCTGTTATCGGAGCGTTCTGCTGACTCAGCAGCTCCACGTCTGGAAGTTTGAAACGTTTCATCATCACGCTGTGAGGGAAACGCGTCTGCAGCCTCAGAGCGGCTCCACTGACAGGTTCTGTTTGTGTTCTGGTTCTGATGGAGCCTGAGGCTCATCTGGACTCCTTCCTCCTCCTCATCATCATCACCATAACAAACCTTATTTAGCATCAGCTGTTTGTCTGAATCCCAGCAGTGAGTTCTCTGAGCGGGTCGGCGGTTCTGATCCGGCTTCAGGCCGGGGCGTCTCTGTTTGGTCAGAGAAACCCAGTGGAACTGGAACATCCGGTGTTCTGGATGAAGAGGCGCCCATTTATCATCCTGAGCCTGGATGCTCCACATGTCTTCTCCCAGGCTTGTTGCCATGGGAACAGTCAGAGTGTGGGATGAGGCGGGGCCTGTTGACATGCTAACCTTATTGTGCTAGCTTAGCATGCTGATGTCGTCTGACAGCAGGATGTGAGGTCACGGTCTGAGGCGAGCTGCTGGCGCTGGGCTGGAGGAGGAACTGCTGGTGGACAGGAAGTGGCAGCATCATGCTGACTCCAGTGTCGTTCTGACCGGCTCTGGACAGCATGGTGAGGTTCTTCATGGTGAGACGGAACCAAACTCTGGTCTGTCTGGACCGGCACGCTCTCAGCCTCACTCTGTCACAGAGGGGTGACCTCTTGACCTCCAGCAGATCTCCAGCACCTGCTGCCTGTCAGAAACTATAATTAATAATTATCAGAAACCTTTGACACATCCAGCCTGTTTTACCGTTTAACTTTCCTCAACCTGAGCAGCTTCATGTTCACCTCAGCTGGATGTGAAGCAGCTCAGTTTGTGGTCCCATCAGAACCAGTCTCTGGTTCTGTTGGGGTTCTTTGGGTCTCCACGCTCAGGTTCCCAGGTGGGTCTGATTCATGCGGTGTCGGTTCAAATCCCTGCATGTTAAATCATGGATTTGATTTAACATGCAAATCCCTGATTTAACATGGGATATGCAGAATGTGCAGAATGTGCACATTCTGCACATTCCTGCAGCTCAGCTTTGACCCGGTGAGCGGCTCGGTGCCGGACGGCCTCCTCCAAGGTTTCAGCTCTCCATGCCAGGCCGGCCGTCTCGGGTCGCTGCCCAAACCCAAACTGGAGCAGGAACTGAAGGGGAACTCAGGCTGCAGTCTGACTGACTGACTGCTCAGTTTCAGTCATGAACTGAAGGAACTCGACCTGCTGCCAGGCTGCCTGGTTCTTGGGCTTTTCTTCAGGTTGTACCTGAATGCAACACAGGTGGCGCTCTGCAGGGATGAGACTCAATACACTGGGTCATTCATAGATCATTATTGAATATGAATGTATATATTTTCATCCATTTAGTGTGTGCAGTGAAATCATGAATGAGGAGAATGTAACGATCTGATGAAGCCAGGACAGGATCTGCTGTTTGACCTCAGAGTCTTTAACTAAACCGTCAGAATCTGACTGTCCATTTAATGATGGACATAAATTCAGTCAGAGTCAAAGCAGTTTTACCTCAGCAGGTTAACTTTAATATCAACGTTCATTTATTAGTAATAATTCCTAAAACAATGAGGTTTCTGCTGCTGTTTAAACATGATTTCTGAGTCGTCCAGGACATGAAACTGGAACTGGACGTCTCTTGTGTCTTTAGGGTGAAATGATACTTAATGCTGGAGCCATAAGTCATTTTTTAAACTTCCTAGTTTTCATTTCCATGTTGCTCTGCATCGTTCTTCCCTCTGAAAACACAAGAATACCTGAAAACCGTTTTGTCATTTATCTCAAACTCCCAACATTCCTCTAAATTAAAATTAAATATTTTCCCGTCTAAAAGCTCAAATTCATCAGATATCTGATTTTAATTTAAATTGTGGATCTGATACAGTAACAACTAAAGGAAGCATCATTACTTTATGTAAAGTTACCAACATAAGTGAATAATCTTTGGTATATTTTCAGCCTGACCCAAATAAAGAACAGAACCTCTGATTTGTTTTTTGGTTTCCAGGGAAACGATTTAAAGCTGCGGTTGGTTAACGCCTCAACTTTTATCTGAAACTTTAAAACATGAATCTCCCTCCAACATGTCTGCCTCCTCAGGCGTTTACTAACATATCCATGAATATGAGAATCACTTTTATGGAAAAGAGAAACTGAAGCAGAAAGTTTTCACGCTGAGAACATCTGAA